AGAGAGTCCAGTGGAGGGCAATGAAAATGGTTGTGGGGCTGGGGGACAGGACTGGTGAGGAGAGGCTGAGGGAAATGGGCTGATTGAGTCTGGAGAAGAGAAGACCGAGGGGGATTGAACAGCAGCCTTGACCTCCCTGCAGGGGGGCTGCAAAGAGGATGGAGCTGGGCTGGTCTCAGTGGGGGCAGACGACAGGACAAGGAGCAATGGGCTCAAGCTGCAGCAAGGGAAGTTGAGGTTGGATATTAGGAGGAATTTTCTCACAAGGAGGGTGGTGCAGCACTGGAGCAGGCTCCCCAGGGAGGTGGTGGGCTCTCCATCCTTGGAGGTGTTTAAGACCCAGGTGGATCAAGGCTTGGCTGGGGTGATGTAGTTGGGGCTGGTCCTGCTTGGAGCAGGGGTTGGATGAAATGGGACCTCCTGAGGTCTCTTTTACCCTCATTTTCTATCTTTCTATGATTTGCTTCCCATCTCCCCCTCCCATCCCAGGCACCTCCTACCTGCTTTTGTGGGGGTCTCTGGAGGCCTATCCCCAGGGTCTCAAGGTGGTTCCCCAAGGGTGAGAGATGTCTGGAGACCACACGTGCATTTGTTCACAGGACCACAGAGCAGGGCACACAAGGCTTTGCTGCTCAAGCCACTTACCTTCTGCAGAGCCCAGGTCTTCCCACCACGCAGCCGGCATGGGCACGGCTGCTAGCTCTACTCTGCCTACAAGCACTGCGCCGGCTATTATTAACATCACATTTTGTCTTGCTTGTGCATTCAAGTCGACAGTGCGCAACATGGTGTCAGGAAGAAGGGCAATGAATCATGGCCTGCAGCCCTGTTATTTGCCTTCACAAAGGATCAGCCAGGTGTCCGGGAGATTCATGCTCTGAAATGAGGCCTCTCCGGGGAGCGCTGCACCATCCACACCCACGGAGGCCTGGGGACTGTTTGTCAGAGGAGCCTGAGTCCGGGGCCAGGCCCCAGGCACGAGTAGGAGCCAGTACGTGTGGAGGTGCCCGTGGCCAGGGGCTTTGGGGAAATAACTAAATATAGAGGGGTGGAAGGAGCCCTGGGAAGAAGGCCACCCCAAAAGCACTGTGCACCCCGGTCCTGCCGTGAGTAGGGAAGAGCCACCCCTGCTCTCCTGGCCTCCCTCTGCCCCAGTCCCTCCAGCCTCTGGCTGCGAAGATGGTAAAGCACACATCCCTTCCATCCGGGAGAGGCTAGAGATGGCCGGACCGGCTGGAAACAACCTCCCGGAGGGGCTCCAGGGCCAGAGCGGGGCTGCCATCTCCTCCGGGGCACCAGGAAAGGCCCCTGAAGGAGCGCAGGGCAGGTCCGGGGCATTTGCTCAGCGCTCTGCAGGGCAGGGGCTTTGCAGGCTCCGAGCTCCCCGAGCAGCCGTGTCGGGATGACCCCAGGCCTGTGTCCTTGCTCCCATGGGACCGGGTGCCTGTGAACCACGAGGCTGCCAGCAGAAGAGGCAGAGGACGAGGGACAGAAACTGGAGCTCGCGCATTCTTGGAATAGCTGTTGTGCACCGGGGCCGGGGTCGGCAGCCTGGGGCAGAGCGGAGCGTTTTCGTTGGCACCGGCACCGTTCGGGACGACCTGCGTCATTCCCGCGTGGCAGAGCCACGGCTCAGCTATGCCGGCCGCTCCAGAAATTGCCAACAAAAACTGTGCACCACGCCCGGCCATCACGGAGCCTCTCCATCCATCCCCCCAGACAGGCTGCGCGTGATCTGCTGTCAAAACAGCACGAGAGCCGTGGGGTGTTGCATTCCAGCAAACAGCTTTTTCTAATTAGCACCAAGGACAAACAGCTCCCCAGCACCCTCCGCCCCCTCGCAGAGCCTCCGGCGTGGATGCTGAAGGCCGGGGAGACGCTGGCCGTTACAGGCCAGTCTCCAGATCCCGGAAAGCAGCAGACTTGCTCACCTCAGTGAAATGTGCCTCAGTTTATTAGAGATTATTTTTGTCTTTAATCAGGCTGGTTTGGGTAAATGGTTCCAGGGTTTGGAGTGGCCGTGCTAGCAAATACCAATGGAAGGACCTCGCATGGCCAGATCGGCCTCAGAGACTGGCCGCGCGTGCACACCACAGGGGCAGGGCCTGACTCCGGAGTTAGCGCGGGATGCAACGCCCAGTCCCCGCCGCGCCACCAAGCACTGGAGCCAGGGGCTCGCAGACCCTCAAGGGAGCTCGGTGTCTCCCAGCACATCCCCCTTCCTGCAGGGACCGGCTCGTGAGTGACACTGTACTGCACTCGCAGCCGACGCTGAAACAGAGCCTTTTATCTGAGCATCTTGACGAGCCCTGTAGACATTTTGTATTTCCTCAAGCGTGACACGAGGAGGGCTGGAAGAACAGGGGTTAGTTCATCTGGGGAAGGGAGGATGGAGGAGGGATCTGATGACCATCTTCAAACGCAAAAAGGGGTGTAATAGAGAAGACGCAATCAATCGTTCTCTGTGTCACGGGACAGGACAAGAAGTGATCGGCTTAAACGGTGACAAAGGAGATTTAGGTTGGAGATTAGGGAGAACTTGCTCGCTCTGAGAGTGGTTTGGCACAGGAACGGGCTTCCACAGAGGTTGCAGAATCACTGTCATTATACTTTTTTAAGAGCAGGTTACATAAACACTTGTCTGGGATGGTTCAGACAGGGACGATCCTGCCTTGAGCAGAGGATTGGACTAGATGTGCCCTCCTGAGGGACCTGCCAGTCCTACTTTTCTGTGATTAATTCTTGCAAGGCTCCTCTGAGATGCATAAACATAATACCCATTTTACAGAGGTCACCATCGACTTGAAATCTAACCCACTCCTCCTACAAACGCTGTTCTCAGGTGCATTTAGCATTGGCAGGATCGGGTTCTCACTTACGAGACGGGGGAGCCTGGGAGTCTGCCGCGCCGCCGAGTGCACAAAGGGAACAGAGGCAAGAAGCAGCCTCATTTGTGTTCCTCGAGCCTCTGCCAGGTCCGGGAGCCTCAGCATTGCTCGGCAGAACAGTTCATAATATTTGGGCAGACCCCCGCCTTTCAAGCTGCCGTGCCTGAGATGAGGTCCCTGGCCCCCGGCTGTGGCTGGCAGGTGACACTTCAGTCCCATGCCCGTGCAGCGTGCCATCTGAGCAGGGTCCTGGCCCTCTCTGTTACCGTGTCATCTGAGCCAGCTCTTTACTGCCTGCGGGTCACGTGCGCCTGCTACGGCAGAGCTGCGTGGGGAGCAGGGGAGCCCAAGCCGGCTGCCTGGCGTGGTCTCGCCTGGTTGCGTGCGCAGAGCGTGGGAGCAACTCGGGCGGACCGGGGGCTGACCCTGTGCATGGCCGGGGAAGCGATGCCACCAGAGGTTTGCAGGCAGGCCTGCCCGGGCATTGCACTCACATCTGCTCCCAGTCCGGAGTTCCTCCCACGCAGCCAGCACACCAGTTACCCTGGCTTCCCTTTCCTTCGCAGGCCAGCCCTGGGAAGGAATTGCTCAGTGCTTCCACTGTCAGCTCAGGGAACGTTTTGCTCCTTTGAAGCCCACACAGTGGAAGCAGCATCAGGGTCCAATTTACCAGCTCTGGCCATGCGGTTGATTTCACCGCTGGCACCAGGTGCTGGGTTCGCACCATGGAAAGTGAGCGTCTGCGCCCACAGAACAGGTACAGCTCAGGCACAGGCTATGCAATGCACGCTCCTTGCTGCCCTGCTAATGTGCCTTGCTTCTCACCCGCTCTGGGGCAAGGACCTGGCACGGTCAGAACGAGAAGGCTGCACGACAGCAATTTGTGCATGGGGGCGCCTGTCCCCAGAGCTCCCCAAACCGGGTTTGATCGGCAGTGATTTCTGCATGCAGGGGCTCCTGACACTTCCAGGTGCTGGCATGTTGCAAACCAAAATACTTTGCAGCTCAAGCCTTTGTAGGACCCCAAAGGGACCAGCTCTTCCCCTTCCTCCCCCAGTGTCCTCAGGGGGCTGCGGCAGACACCCACCCACCCTTCCCTGCTCGCACCAGGCTGCTAGTGCTCTCGCAGCCAGGATACCCATTGCCAAAGGAGGGGCACAGGGAACACATGGGCGCGAGTGACCGCACAACATCGGCTGCCTCGTTCCAGCTGCATTCGGAAGGTTTTTATTAGTGTTTTCATGGGACGGTTTCACTGCAGAAAGTTCACATGGAAATAACAAAATTGGAGCCTTGTGTCTCTTGCATGCGGTCTGCCTTTGAAGGTGGGGCCCAATCCTGCATCCAGGGAGATCCATGGGAGCCCCCGTAGGAGCTGGGGCGAGCACCCTGGGCTGCTGCGAGCCTTCCCTCCGCTGCAGGGATAGCACTCCCTTTGCATCTTGTTAGACGCTTTCCCTGTTGTGCAGACCCACGGGCTGCTCCCCAGGGGAGAAGGCACTGACGGGCTGGGGCTACAAGAGGCACTGAAGCCAACCCAGGCTGGGTAAAGGAAACGCCGTGTTATCGTTCCCTGGTTAGTCTATAAGGCGCAACTCTGCCCTGCCTCTTGCTGCTGCTGTTTGGGTGGAGGCCACATCACACGGGTACGTCCCCTCCTCAGCAAGCTCGTGAAGCTGGGCCCTCCTTATCGCTTTCACAGGGCAAAGTCCACGTGGTCTCCGTCCTCGCTAGAGCAGGTGAGGGGAGCCTGGGTGGAGGTGAATTCGTTTAGGGACAATCCGTTATGTATTTGTTGACTTCTGGTGTGTGGGCTGGGGGCCCCCACAGAGACTAGAGCCTTGAAATCTGGAGAAATAAAAGCAGAACAGCTCCTTTCCCCGACTATTTCACCCCCAAAGGTCTCCCCGTCATGCCATGATGTCCTCGCATGGAGGAGGAGCAGGCCCTACGGTATCCAACGGCACTGGGACCCGCAGCCCCCGGGACTTGCGACCACAGCCCACACCCCCTGGGCCCCATGCGCTGGATGCAGAGCGACTGGTACCCCGCGCAGGCAGGTCTCCTGGGATGTGTGATGGGGCTTTTTCCTGACTAAGGGCAGTGGCAGCTGAGCCTGGGAAGGACCTGGCTCCAAATGTCTTTCCCCTTCAAATTAGCAGGTGGCTCCCAGGACTCAGGGTCCTTGACAAGGCTTGCAGGCCTGACCAGGAGTCACGGGCACTGAGTCCATGAGACCCACAGCAGCCCCACGGCTGGGAACGTCCCCCTCCGCCTGTCTCCGAAACCTGCGCTTCCTGCACGAACTGACCCACCACGTCTCCCTTGCTAGACAGGAGCCTGACTCATCTCCAGGCCACTCCACCAGCTCCTTGCTGGTGCGGCTCAGGATTTGGCAACGTGTTTTAATGAGGTATTTACAATCTTGCGGACTGGCTCCTTGCTCAAGGGCTATTGTCTGTGCCCGGTGTTTTACAGGCGCAGGAGCTGTCAGCAATCATCGTTAGCATTCCTGCCTCTGCCTCGGGGACAGCACAGTCACCGTGGAAAATATTTAGACATCAGGAGTGTCTGATTAATTAATCTCTTAATTGATACCTCCACCTGGCGTGGAGAAAACCCGGAAGAGCTGGCTACCCAGGGTGCCTGCTGCTTACAAACAGATTTACAGCTAAAAATACCCCAGCTGTCCTGGGACTAATTGACTTCCCTGCTTATCCCATGTTGGGTTATGAAATTCCCAGGGGCTGGCAGGTTCTGCGAGGCGAGGGGAGGGCTCCCAGCAGGCTGCCGGTCTGGCAGCATGGCTGCAGCTCCAAACCAAACAAGCGACATCTGTTTGGAGTTGACACAGGAACAAACATACTGCAAGCAACAGGGAAGTTCCCTCCCCCTGCCCCTGGATGTCCGCCCAGGTCAGCGATGCTGGGAGCCAGAGCCCCGCTTCAGCCTCCTGCTCCGGTAGATCCTGCTGGCTGGAGAGCATTCCTGATGCTCCCTCCCATCCCCGGCTGGGGCGGTTCAGAGGGACCCAGCAGCGGGCCTGGACCAAGCGCCTCCACATACCAGGGCTTGGCGCCAGCTCGGGCAAAAGGGCTGCCGACGAGCCAGGAACGCGGCCTGTTAAATCCCAGCGCCTCTCAGGCCTGCCTGCCGTGGCACTGCCAGGAGCACAGACACCAGGCCCGGTGCCCGCGGAGACACTGCAGCGTGGGCTCCAGCACCGGGCGCAGGTTTATTTCACACACGAGGCCTGCAGTGCTGTCCACACGCTGCTCCGCCAAGCCCAGGACAGCGCCGACCTGGAGCTCCTGCTTTTCTCCTCGTCTGGGGCACGCGCACACGCACCCCCCCCCCGCCGTGCCCAACAGGGCAGGGTTTCCACCCAGAGCATCTTTCTGTCCCTGGCTCTGCCAAGGCCAAGACAATGCTGACCGGAGGGGGGGGGCTCCTGCTTTTCTCTTCCTCTGGGACACAGACAGACACCTGTGCAGCCCTGCCATACCCAACAGGGCAGGACACACACACACACACTGTCACACACAGCCCCGCAGTGCAGGATACCCCTTCCCCCCGCCACACACACACCCCCACACACGTGCCCAAGAGAGCAGGTCTCCTCCCTGTGCATTTCTGTGTCCGGCACTGACCTGGGGGCTCCTGCGTCCTCCTCCCCTGGGGCAGGCACGGACACACGCACACACACGCGGGCGGGCAGGGCGCAGCCAGGCTCTGGGAGTCACCATCTTTATTCCGCTGCGCGCGCAGGGCTGAGCCCGTGTGTCCGCGGCGCCCGGCGCAGTCCGGGGGCACGACGTGCGTGTCCGGGGGGCCCGGCGCGCGT